CCCAAATTAATTGGGATCTCAGACCATCGGTCTACCTCGGAACAGTTGCAACAGTCAGTGGTCAAGAGCTATCTGTCGGCATTCAGTGGTCACTGGTCAGTGGTCGATGATGAATGGTCAGTGGTCAGTGGTCAGTGGTCAGTGGTCAGTGGTGATGGTCAGTAGTCACCGGTCTTTGAGTGGCCGAGTGTAGGTTCAAAAGTCGTAGAAGCACGACACGCCGACTCAGAAATACACATTTCACAGCATACATCATGCACGGTCACAGGGCGGAACACTCTGGGTGGGTCGGGGTGGGCTGGGCGCGGGAAGTCGGCATTCGTCCCACCTAAGAACCCTTTTCGTGCAGCGTCGGAATTCTTCCGGTCGCTAATGAAGAAAACAGTGATCCTGAAAAAGTCACAATTTCATCAATGTCAGGCAAGAAATACCACTGCATTTTAGCTGAAGAGCTAGAGATCAGTGCAAAAATTGGTATACGTAAGAACAGTTCTTCTATGCAGCTCTAAAGGAATCATATGACCCGCCATATATCATGATGTGGCGGTCATATGATAGGGTAGGGTGGGGTAATTTGAACATGTGGGGCAATTTGAACATAGTGTGAATAACAGAAAATTACGGAAAATCCATAAGTGGCATGACAATAAGACCAATGAGAGAAATTATCGTAACTAAAAGGGCTATCATATGAACGGGGTTTAACCCTCGCCCGCACATGCCATTTTCCCATCCTAGAACGCACATGGGGGGGGGGGGGTGGTTGCCACCCCCCCCCCCCCGCGCCATTTCGTTCCTGTTGGAGATAGAGCTTAGCAGTAAAGACCAAAAAGATTCTTTGGGAAAGGACGAATCCAATGATACCCAGTTTTACCTTCTCAGGTCAGTCATTGACCTTCCAGGTCAGGTCAAACTAAAAAATGTTGCTGTTTTGGGTCACCGTTGGATATCAAGTGCGCTGCTTATCAAATACCGATGACGATGCTGTTTTCTGGTGCCAAGCCAGCTAGAACCTCTTTGTCACACTATCCGACCAGAATCTTGCTGCTGAGGTCATTTCAGGTCAAGTTAGGTCAAGGTCAATTATATGTGTTTGTATGTCTGTGTGTGTCTGTGTGTATACTGATGTGTGCACCGATTTTTTTTTTTTGGGTCCATATCACATGAAATCATGATCTGAGAAGCTTTTACCAAAAATGCAGTCAAAAAACTTCACAAAAAGTAAATTCAGCTTGCCTAAAGCGCAATTATCTTAGATGACCTAGGTTGACCTTGACCCTGACCTTGACCCCTGTACATCGTCGAACAACATGTTCCATGATAGGTGGGAGGTAAGACTGGCAAAAAAGGCCGAAATCAGGGTGTCAAAAGCTCACAAGGCCCATGGCAAACGCAAGATGTTGAGAATTGGCCATTTGGGTCATGACATGACCTGAAAAACAAGGTCATATCTCCGAAACCAAAAATCACAGAAACTTGAAATTTTCAGTGGACATCAAGAAAGGATAGACGAGCAGCTATACGAAAAATCAGCCTTCTAGCTCTAAAAATGTTGAGTGCAGAGCAGAAAGACTGCCTGGGGGGGGGGCAACCACCCCCCCCCCCATGTGCGGGCGAGGGTTAAAGTTTCAGGGAATGAAGATGTTGACGCACAGTGTAAAAAATCAATTTCGCAAGGAAAAACGTCTAACAACACGTCATTGCAACTTCATTGCAGCGCAAAATCTTGCATTGCTAGCGCCTAATACGCAACGGCTTTTGTTGTATAATGACCTAATCAGTGCCTTCAATCCAAGAAATTTGCTTTCGAACCCTGTTTTTCTAAATGGCAAAATAACTTTTAGCGTGGGGTAATTTGAACATAGTGTGAGAATTTGAATGAAGACAGGGATAGCTCCGAAAAAACAACGCTCCCAGTTTTTTTTTTGCCAATATTTTCGACCCAAGGCAGTAGCAGATAAGTGATGCCAGTTTTAGAGGATTTACGTCTAATATCCGTCTAATGTCCGGCATTTTTGTTGATTTTCCGTTAAAAAATGTTAAAGTCAACTATTTGTCCAAATATGTCCGAAAATTATGCAGCTATCAACACTCAAAACGTCATTTATATTGCTTATCATGTAATTTTACCAGCCGAAAAGTGTTCATTATATTGAGAGCTTAACAAGCTTTCCATTCGCCAATCAATGTTATGCACGATTACTTTATAAAAAGCGCTGAAGTGGAGCAAACCATCGTCCAATGTTGTCCAGTCTGCTACCTTTGTCCAACCAATTCCGAATTGGACATTGGACAAAATCAGAACTCCAAATGTCCAGGTTTCGACTGGCACCACTTTAACATCTATGTAGTACGGTTGGGAGAGTTTTTATCGAACAAAAATGATAGACGTTCTGTTAATTGAAGATGGGCGAATTCTGTCAACTGATCGGTGTGCAGCGTGCAGATATTAATACTCTGCAACTGTTATTTTTGCTGTTGTGTTGATTTTTCAAGTGAAGGTATGTTTAGAATTGTTCTGCCTATTTGTTTATGGGTCAAACAACATCGGTGCTGGCGAGACTATCGTTTTTATGACAGGTAAAGGCAGTATGTTCAAATTACCCCACGGTGGGGCAATTTGAACACACCGTGACTTGGTGGAGAAGTGAGGCTATGCTATTCAAGGTATGCTCGGCTCGTCCAAAAATGAGGCTTGCATGGTGAGAGCAAGTGACACTTGCGCTACTGAAGCAGTTTTTCTTCATCCAGGGTTGAACTGGAATTTGATACAACGGAGAAGACGTAAAAATATGTTCAAATTACCCCACACTACCCTATGGCGGTAATAAAGGCATATTGTAGTATACCTACAGCCCACCGCTTACGCTATTTACAAAAAAAGCAGAGTGATGATCACTTGCTTACTGCCCATGGTGCTCAAACATCCCACATTCCCAGAACGGCGTGGGTAAGAATAACTTTGTGATAAGAAATCGAGTGTCAAATCAATTCAAATGATGTTCAATCAATGATAATGTAGGTGAATCTGAATGTCAGTGCGTCGACAAACGTCAATAATCGTAAGCGTCCAAACAAATAAATAAAAAGCAACTGAAAAAAGCCGCAGATTAAAAGCCACCGAAAAAACACTTGACGAAACCACGATGCGTCAGCATTGCCAGTGTTTCACTTTTGTATGTTCATGTACTGGTAATACAAACACTGTTCATCATATATGTATATAGCTACAAAACATATGTGCTACTCAAAACGTTGTATTTCGGCCATTTGTCCCTCTAAACTGGTTAATGGTTATGTTTAAAAACACCAAAAGAGAAACGTAAAGAAGCCTCGCTTTCGAAACGTGAAGCATCGTCTTTGAATTACAAAGTACCTACCTCCCTATGATAGCTGGTTCTTTAACCACGTGGATAATTTTCATAATTATACATATTCGATTCTTTATGATAGCATAATAACGTTTATGCAACGTAAACAATTTTAAGTACTTTTTAACGTAGTGTCAGTGGTTGGGGAACGGTAAAACTCACAAAGTGGTGTCCTTGAAGCCCACTTAAACATGGCTGGCGTGGATGTACCATGCCGTTTCCACGGCTCATCCAGATTTGAGTGGGGCTCATTCCTACTGTTCGGCGGGGTCCACGCTGATAATCCGAACACATTCCCCGCAGCCTTACCGACTGTTGTTCACCTGATCCTCTCACATAGGCTCAGCCTCATTCATGATGTGCATTGTCCGAGCATATCTTATGTTCGGCGCTACGCATGGCTGCAACCAATTTAGTGAGCGGAAATTCCACGAAGACAAAGGTTGTATGTTATATAACACCAACCAAGCCAAGGTTCATAGGGTATTTTAGGTCGTTACCATTGACCGGGGCATAGACAGAGGTCTATGTTATGTCGTTACCAAGTTGAGCTCGAAGTACAGGATGATCAATGAAGAATGACATAAAGTGGGCCCACGCATGAGGCACAAAATAACACGTTAAAAATAAAAACACTTTGGCGTTTGGCAAATAGTTAGATTCGCAAAATATTGGCTAGTGTTTTTTCGACCTGATCTTACATTGATCTTGGGTCAGAGCGTGACCTTCAGATGTGAAATTGAGAGAAGCTATAGGTCATGATAAGGTGCCATTTTCAGCGCTATAGTTCTGCTGGGTGGGCCACAATATGCTGAGCGAATCAGAAGGCCGTGACCTTTGTTGACCTCTCTAGGTCAAGCAAAGATCGTTTCGAAACAAAACCCCAAGAAATGTATTCAATGTGTATTCACGATAGATCCACGCAAACTGGTGGCTTTTCGCCATCGTACGTAGTAAAAATAAAACAGTGATAAAAGGTAAACATACAGTAGCATCCATCCAAAGCACAGATACACAAACAAAAACGTAAGGCAGGTGACAGTATACCCATTATCCATATAGGGCGCACAGGTAATCACAGCACTCGCCAACAAACCCCATGGCTCCAGCTCTCGTCACGTTTCGACGGCACGCAGGTGGCGCTTTGCAGCAGTCTTGAATGAGGTTCCTGCAGGCTTCGGCACCTCATTATACAATTTCACACCGCTGAAACACAAGCGCTTGCGACCAGTCTCGGTACGAATACGTGGCATAGTCAGGAGGTCAGCAGACCGTGTGTCGTGATCGTGCTGGCGGCGAGCAGGAGCACCGATAGTCTGCGCTAATGGCGGCGGAACGAGGCATGACATGAGTCGGTGAATGACAAGAACTCGATGATAGGAAATGAGCTCGTCTGCTTTGAACCAACCCAGCGATCGAACCACGTCAGAAATATGGTCGGTCTTCCGACGTCCAGACACAACACGCGCAGCGAAGTTAATCAACTTTTGAATTCGGTGGACCTGCGTTTTGTTACAAATGCCGTATACAGACATGCAGTATCGCATCACGGGAAAAACTAGCGCGGTAATGAGATATTTTACAGTGGCCATTGGAATCACGTGTTTTGCATGGTTCAAAGCGAGTAACATGCCGGTGCACTTCGGTACAAGCTGGTCTACATGCAGACGAAAGTCGAGGTGTTGGTCAAATATCACTCCTAGGTTGCGGGCCTGGTTCATAGATCTAATGGTGGCACCATTAAATTTAACGGTCACCTCCGCGATATCTCTCAGCATTTGCCTTGTTCCGAATAACATGAGCTCAGTTTTTGCCTCATTCACTTTCATGTTGTTGCTACAAAACCAGTCGAACATACTCTGGAGAGCGGTCTCGAGTTGTGTCACCAACTGGGAGCGTTGTTTTTTCGGAGCTATCCCTGTCTTCATTCAAATTCTCACACTATGTTCAAATTACCCCACGCTAAAAGTTATTTTGCCATTTAGAAAAACAGGGTTCGAAAGCAAATTTCTTGGATTGAAGGCACTGATTAGGTCATTATACAACAAAAGCCGTTGCGTATTAGGCGCTAGCAATGCAAGATTTTGCGCTGCAATGAAGTTGCAATGACGTGTTGTTAGACGTTTTTCCTTGCGAAATTGATTTTTTACACTGTGCGTCAACATCTTCATTCCCTGAAACTTTAACCCTCGCCCGCACATGGGGGGGGGGGTGGTTGCCCCCCCCCCAGGCAGTCTTTCTGCTCTGCACTCAACATTTTTAGAGCTAGAAGGCTGATTTTTCGTATAGCTGCTCGTCTATCCTTTATTGATGTCCACTGAAAATTTCAAGTTTCTGTGATTTTTGGTTTCGGAGATATGACCTTGTTTTTCAGGTCATGTCATGACCCAAATGGCCAATTCTCAACATCTTGCGTTTGCCATGGGCCTTGTGAGCTTTTGACACCCTGATTTCGGCCTTTTTTGCCAGTCTTACCTCCCACCTATCATGGAACATGTTGTTCGACGATGTACAGGGGTCAAGGTCAGGGTCAAGGTCAACCTAGGTCATCTAAGATAATTGCGCTTTAGGCAAGCTGAATTTACTTTTTGTGAAGTTTTTTGACTGCATTTTTGGTAAAAGCTTCTCAGATCATGATTTCATGTGATATGGACCCAAAAAAAAAAAAAAATCGGTGCACACATCAGTATACACACAGACACACACAGACATACAAACACATATAATTGACCTTGACCTAACTTGACCTGAAATGACCTCAGCAGCAAGATTCTGGTCGGATAGTGTGACAAAGAGGTTCTAGCTGGCTTGGCACCAGAAAACAGCATCGTCATCGGTATTTGATAAGCAGCGCACTTGATATCCAACGGTGACCCAAAACAGCAACATTTTTTAGTTTGACCTGACCTGGAAGGTCAATGACTGACCTGAGAAGGTAAAACTGGGTATCATTGGATTCGTCCTTTCCCAAAGAATCTTTTTGGTCTTTACTGCTAAGCTCTATCTCCAACAGGAACGAAATGGCGCGGGGGGGGGGTGGCAACCACCCCCCCCCCATGTGCGTTCTAGGATGGGAAAATGGCATGTGCGGGCGAGGGTTAAACCCCGTTCATATGATAGCCCTTTTAGTTACGATAATTTCTCTCATTGGTCTTATTGTCATGCCACTTATGGATTTTCCGTAATTTTCTGTTATTCACACTATGTTCAAATTGCCCCACATGTTCAAATTACCCCACCCTACCCTATCATATGACCGCCACATCATGATATATGGCGGGTCATATGATTCCTTTAGAGCTGCATAGAAGAACTGTTCTTACGTATACCAATTTTTGCACTGATCTCTAGCTCTTCAGCTAAAATGCAGTGGTATTTCTTGCCTGACATTGATGAAATTGTGACTTTTTCAGGATCACTGTTTTCTTCATTAGCGACCGGAAGAATTCCGACGCTGCACGAAAAGGGTTCTTAGGTGGGACGAATGCCGACTTCCCGCGCCCAGCCCACCCCGACCCACCCAGAGTGTTCCGCCCTGTGACCGTGCATGATGTATGCTGTGAAATGTGTATTTCTGAGTCGGCGTGTCGTGCTTCTACGACTTTTGAACCTACACTCGGCCACTCAAAGACCGGTGACTACTGACCATCACCACTGACCACTGACCACTGACCACTGACCACTGACCATTCATCATCGACCACTGACCAGTGACCACTGAATGCCGACAGATAGCTCTTGACCACTGACTGTTGCAACTGTTCCGAGGTAGACCGATGGTCTGAGATCCCAATTAATTTGGGACCTCAGACCTCTGATCCAAAGCGAGATGACCTCATACTGCTGACCTGATATTAGACACTTGACAACCATAAGACGCCTGGCCACTGACCACTGAGCCCCGAACACTGACCTCCGCAGCGCTAAACACCTCCACTGACCAGTCTGCCCCTGCCTCTCTGTCGACAGCGCGCTGCGACTCGTTGGAGAGGGAGCGTGACCAGCACCTGGAGACGATCGAGCAGCAACGTCAGCTGGTTCAGAAGCTGGAGGATGACCTGGGCAGCATGAACTCGGTGGCGGCAATCTGCCGCGGCGAGGGAGAGGTCAGCCACGGGAGGGGAGTGAGAGGGAGGGGGAGATAGGGTGGAATAGGAGGAGATGGGGGAGGCAGGGAGGGAGGCAGAGAGAGAGAGAGAGAGAGAGAGAGAGAGAGAGAGAGAGAGAGAGAGAGAGAGAGAGAGAGAGAGAGAGAGAGAGAGAGAGAGAGGCATTGGATACTTGCCTGGTTTTACGCGTTTTCAATTACAAAAAATGTAAGGTTTAAGTGCGTATAACTACATTTGTTAACAGTATGCAGTTAAACGTTAAATATGTATGCAGATGGAGTAGCCTTGACGGTAAACCGCAAACCATTTGATAACTCTCTTACGGCCAAGCCAGGGGTGATATATACGCCAAACCCTACCGAAGGAGCATTTAGCTTTCTGAGAGGCGAACCGAAATTGTTACACGTAAGAGACTGGTCGACGAGGGAGTCCTCAGTCCGTCTTTTGTTTAATTTGATTTATTGAGTTAAGCTATTTTGTGAAACTGAGCACACAATGCTCCAGTGGCGGCTGCACTGCTGTAGTTTTTAGTAAACGAAGCAACTGCCCCTGGTATGTTCGATCGGTTTTTACCATTGCGCTGGGCTGACAACGGTAATCGGGAAGTGGGAACGGTTAAATGTCCACGGATAACCGTTCAACTGAATGGTGTTTCCATGTCGTGGTTTTGCGGGGAGGCCGGTCGGTCAGCCGTTTGAGTGGTTCCGTCTATTGGGGACTTTGGTGACTGGGTCAGTCCTAACACTGGGTCAGTTACATCCTAGTGATCAAGTTCTTGTAAGTGAATAATGGAAAAGCGTAGATATATGTAATAGAATCTTAGCACAAGAACAACGCAATGTGCGGTGCCAACGATGCTCATTTGAATAACGGCACTTTAATCAGCGTTTCGTGGTGCTTTTTGTAGTCTTATCTCCAGCGTTTTCTCAAATACCGATGTTGGACGTTTTTAACGGCGGCTGCCAAAAGCGTTTTGGAACCGTTGTCACACCAACACCGACCGCTTTGCATGCAATGTTGCATGGCTTCAGTGGGTATAACCGCAACTATGAGCAGATTGAATGGTGATGTGACACATGGCAGGTCAAAAGTTTTATAGTGCTACGACGTCCGACTAGGACACTCCACCCTTTCTTAGACACGCTCAGTCGCTCAAGAATGATGAAGTACATAGGCATATAGGTACGGAGGCGGAAATAGAACTTCAGTTTAAACGTTTTTTACACTTACGTGACAATACAGAACGTCTAGAAATGGAATGCTACTTTCTTAGCCTAATATAATTTCTTAAAACGAAAGACTTTTTCAAGTATCCTTATTCAATCGATAAGCCTCTCTCGCTTTCTTGCACTTAATGAACGTTTTGGTGCATATATGGACCTGGTTATTTTGATTATCAGTTTCCTTTGATACATTCTGAGGTACGTAAGTAAACTGGAAAGAAAGTTTTTAGATGCCTGTCGAGTATCGGCCACAGCTGGAAAATCCTTTCCGCGGTATTCCTCTATGAGTTAGTAGCATGACAGTTTGGATTTGGACCTTTCATCAAATGAATTTAAGCGCCTTCTCCATTTGCATGCCCCCCCCCCCCCTCTATAGTCCCTTCCTCCCTCTTCCCCTCTTTGTCCCTCCCTCTCGATGTGACCCCGGTCGACCTGGGTTGACCTTCACATTTCTCTCACGTCCAGGGGATGCCGCGTCTCCCTCCGCTCTCTTTTTCCTCTCTCTCTCTCTCTCTCTCTCTCTCTCTCTCTTTCTCTCTCTCTCTCTCTCTCTCTCTCTCTTTCTCTTTCTCTATCCCTCTCTCCCTCTATCTCTCTTTCTCTCTCTCCCCCTCATTTGACCTCCCCTTCCCCCTGACGTCCCAGGGTATGCCGTCCTCCTCCGAGCTGGTGGCGGAGGCCGTGAGGGACACGATGGAGCCGATGCCGACCCCTGCCCGACCTCCGTCGGTGCTGGGCGGTGACCCCGGCTCGGCGGCCGACACCATCCTACCCATCGTCACCGCGCAGAGGGAGCGCTTCAGGTCAGTGGGTGAAGGAGCGCCAGTTAATAGAAGATCATACTAATTGGTGAAGGGCTGCCAGTTTGTCGGATATTACGTCAGGCTAGCTAATTCAAAGGTTAGTTGGTGATGGGCTCAGGTCAGCGTGACTCCTCGAGCGGAAACTCCAATGATAAGAAGGAGAGAAAGACTATGCATGAAATGAATGTCTAACGTGCTATCAGTTTTCATGAAGGCTGACGACACGCAATAATGACAGCTTTGTTTTAAGAATAACACGGCCTCATTTAATCATTAACTGGTCCATTCCTTGTGGTCGAAATTCTTAGCTTCAACTTCAGCATGCATCACATCCATTGATAGCTAAATGCCGTAGAACGGAGTTTTAAAAACTTCCTGGAAACCTTGCTCGTGCAATGTGAATGCCACCTCACAGTGCCTTTCTGCCTGTCTATTAGTGGTGTCAATCGGAACTTGTATCTTCGGAATTCCGATTTTGTCCAATGTCCAATTCGGAATTCGTTTGGACAATGACAGCATGCTTTGGACAACTTTGGACAATCGCTTGCTACACCTCAACATTTTTATAAAGTAATCGTGTTTAACATTGATTGGCTATTAGAAAGCTCAGCTTTCGATATGATTACCACTTTTGAGCTGGTAGCGATACATTTAAAGCAAATTAAATAACGGTGTTGAGTTAAACTATGGCGTAGATGTCGGACATCTTTGGACAAATGGCTGGCTTGGACATTTTTGGACGGACGGTCGACGTAAGTATTGGACATTGGACAGACATTAGACATATGCTTCCTGAAATTGACATCACTACTGTCTATCTGCATTCTGCAACCAGCAACAAATATGTCCACTACCTAAGCGCAGGTAACTAACTGTGTGCCAAATGGCAAACCGTGTTCGGCCGCCTGTCATGATTGACTTACACGGTACTCTGCGGCTTTCTAACGTCACTTGAGTGCTAATCCGAGGTGTCCACCATCTCACAAATCCCGGTGGTCCCGCTGTTCTTTGACTGCCGCTATTGCTGCACCTGGGAGCTCCATCTGACCAGTGTTCTATAATCCCGGTCAGAATCGTGTGAAGTCGTTCTATCGGCCCTGTATCCGCGCCCAGCAGCCGGACGGGTCGAAATCGCTCCCGTTTTAGCATGTGTTTGAGTTGTTGTGTCCGCGTGTGACTTCAGGCTCAGAATTCAGGAGCTGGAACAGGAGCGCAACATGGCACAACATGAGCTGAGCCTCAAGGATACGGAGATCGACGACCTGAGGCGCGACAACCTCAAACTGTTCGAAAAGATCCGCTTTTTGCAGAGCTACTCGTCCCAGGTGAGCAGACAGAAGTGTTTGTGGAGATGTCGGGCATGGCAGAGGGGTGCACTGATAAACTGCGTGTCTCTATGTTGGAGAGGGAGGGGGTTGGAGTAGACGATTACCGTTGTTACACTCACGCGTGAAACAAGGACGTTATGTACATTTGTATTTTAAAAGACTCGGCTATTAAATAATATCTGACGAAAGGTATCGCACCCGTGAATGCGATAACGTTATCTCTCAACGATAAAATTGACATTTTAGTATTTATTGCTTAAGTTACGCGTATCGATATGCATTGTACCTGCAATGCATGCGCCGTGGCTATCCAGAGTGGCTATGCGTTTTAGCGTGAACTTTCATTCACCGCCCTGACCTACCTCGCTTATTTTTTTTCGCCTCAGAAGCCGAAGAAGCCCGGCCAGGACGTGGAGTCTCGCTACTCGAGCCAGTACGAACAGTCGCTGGACCCGTTCTCTTCGTTCTCGCGCCAGGAGCGGGCCAGGAAGTACAGCCAGCTCAGTCCCTTCGAGAAGGTCACACTCTCCATGGTGAGAAGGGATGGAGATTCGTCGCTCTATGCCATGACAGGCCTGTCATGTTTCTGGGCTGGTCACTTAGGTTAGCTACCCCACGAGAACTTTGTGACCCGTCTTAATTCTGTCGATCTCTGTAGTGTCACTTTACTACTATTTGGTTTCATGCCTTCCGGTACAGCCTACCTTCGAGGTCATTTTCTATGACACGAGTAATTGCAAACGTGCAATAACCTCCCAATCCCATGACCACCGAAACAATCTGTTAACTTTTTGCAGTATTAGCTGTGGCTCTGACAGCCTTGTACGTATCAAATCATTAAAAACGAAGAATGATGTCGACTTTGACACCTTCTCGATGTCCGGAGACTTCGAGCTGTCGGATTTAGCACCAACTGCCGATAATTGGTGATATTTTTCGTCGCCGAAGTGTCTCGAAAACCACAACCAGCTTTCCGAGAAACCGGTTCGCCATGATGTCAATTCGGACCAATCAAAGAACACCAGAACACCAGTTTGTCGCAAAACTGGAAGCTGCCTCTCGCAACAGTTTTTGTCACTCCGACCGGCTACCGACGTCGTGTGTGTGCTTTTCAAGCCACATACCCGATACTCATGGTCTGATTGCCGTACGATTTGCCCAATACCCAAGTATCTGCGAACCATCCTTGGATGATACGCAATCGGAGATCATAGGAGTCGTTAATTAGCTATGCAGAGTGCATGATTATTTCTTATGAATTTGCACAAACCAGTGTTATTCTCTGTTGAGTGCGGGTTCTCTGATGAGATGGTCGTTCAACCAGTGCCACCCTGACATCTACTGGATGTCATGCAGTGCTGGCGCTTTCTTACACAGCTCTGAGTCTCATTCCGTGTGCTCCAGGGGCAATGCTCCCTCTACCCGTCCCTGCCCCCCCCCCACCAAATACGCACACCAGGTACCCCCAGAGCTAGCTGGTGTTCCACGACATCGTCCCTAACCCCCGCACCGTGTGTTCTCAGGGTCAGTTGGTGCTCCATACGACTACTAATGCTCCCTCAAACCGTTCCTGACTCCCCCACCGTATGTCCTCAGGGTCAGTTTGTGCCCTCTCAGACATCCGTGATGCGATGCTCCATAACACCGTTCCCCACCCCCGCACCGTGTGTTCTCAGGGTCAGCTGGTGCTCTCCAGCCGCACGGCACGCACGGTGGCCTTTCTGTACACGCTGCTGCTCCACCTGCTGGTGTTTGCTGTCCTCTACAAGATGGCCTACACGGAGATGTACCATCGACAGTTCTCATCAGACTGCGCCGAAAAGTGAGTTGATATCGACCTAAGTGAGCCCTAAAATAGCGGTCGGCTGGTGGTGGATGTATTATTGGCTCTGTTTGTGATTCAATTAGTGGTTCTATCCGTGATTCTGTCAGTGAATCTGCTAGTGGTTTTATCAGTGGTTCTACCCCCGATTTGACCCTGAGGCCATGCTGAATATCTCATGCATTTCTATTTGTACTCATTACCGGCCAGTGCCCATAGCCAAAGTGCTTAGAGGGGTGTGTCAGGGTACACAATACTGAGTGTTTGTAGGTACGTACCTAAAGGTGTAACCGTCTTTGCCGTCAGGTACGCCGAGCACATGCTGAAGATTCACGGAGAGGAGAGCCACCTGTGAGTGTGCCGCTCTGCCGAGAGATGGCAGCACAGTCGTCGGCCGGTGTCCGGGCTACTGTTTGACTACCGTGAAAGGACCGGCGGCGGCAGGGGGCGGCGCCGACACAGGCATTCCGGGCTTCTTCGGTGAAGGGAGGGGGCGTCTGGCCCGCTGCGTTTTCGACCGACGCCCCCAGTTGTTACGATGTGTGATCATGTGAACGTTTAAATTGGCCTATCTGCTTCTGTCTGTATGGGCTCGCTACGACAGTATTGAGTGATGTTATCGTTTTGCTCCTGCCCATATCACGTGGAGTTGCATAGTTTTTGTCTTATCACGTGTGTCTGATCACCACGAGGTTCGATCGTTTTGCCTTTGGTGGTAGCTGATTCCGACTTTGAGTGCTTCTTATCGATTCCAACCGGTGCAGGGTGACTGTAACATCCAGAGGCTGGTCTGCGGAACACCCAAGTGGACTGTGTTGCATAGCCGCCGTGCACAGCACGTTTGTGGTGATTTGCGAATGTGAAAACATGCTGTAGTGTGATCCGCGCAGATATGTACAGTGTACACGGGCACATGCAAGCTGCGATGTGACCCCAAATACAATATTTAAGGCAATAGTTATGAATGACTTGTGTCGTGTTCAAAGGTCAGTGTGGTGCTCCGGTGCTGGCAGATGGCGCTGCTGTGGTCATCAAGCTGTTTGACACGACTCACCACTAGGGGCGCTACGAACGTCGCGGAGCTCAACTGGACAGTTGACGCACACCAGTAGGAGCAGTACTGCCTGACTAATCGGCCTATGTCCGCCTTACTTCAAACACTGATGACTGGTAGGATGTGGTTACATTGATGTCACTAGCTAGTATAACATCGTCACACTGGCTACTGATGAGGCTAACATGCATATTATCAAGCAGAGTACACAGGCGTATCGCTGGTCTCAGGTAAGATAAGAAAGGAGCGTGTCTTCAGAGATACAGACCAATCTCACGGCGATTTTAGATGATGACCTCATACCTACTATCCAGAGGTGACTTCATGAAGCACAGGCAGTGTATGAGACATCATTATATGACAGACTACCAACTTGGCACACCGCGAGAAAAAGACATATACCAGAGAGTTAATGTCAACCGCTTCAACATGTCAACGGCCTAACCACCTCTACCCATCGGTATTATGGTTTGTTAAATATCTCCGCAGTTTGATGGGCCGTGGCCCCTCTTTTCTAATACAACATACACTGGTGCTACGGTAAGTACTGTTTGAACAGAACACCATTAAAACCCGGTGAACGGGGCTTTGGCACATCGCCCCTTCATTAGACAACATACAGGCCTCTAGCAAACACAGAAACTCACATACAACAAGCAAGCATACGTGTGCGATCAACTATCGCGCGCTAAAGCATGAGTCGGTTGCCTGTCTTCATTTGCATCGGCAAGATGCGATAGAGAAGCAGGCGATATACATAGGTCGCTAGGCCATTTGTGGCTAGTGTGACCTGTACATAAATCGCTTCAAGAACCGACCTAGGGTGGATGAACTGCGGCCAGTTCGGGTCAGAGGCCAGAGTTGAGTTCAGATGTTTAGGTTAAGTCGCCTGCGTTCAACCCTTGGCTGTCCATTCGAACCCCGGGCATTCTCATCCACGACACGCACACGCGAACATCCAGATCTCAGAGGTTGTGTTGTGTAATCCGAAATGTTAGGCTGACTAATCTACATAAACTGTTAAAGAACAAACTTTTTACGTTTCTCCGAAGGTTAAAGTCATGTGCAAGCTTCGTTCAAACTTAGCGTTCCTCCTAGAAGGTGGAGAGCCAAGATCATGCCAGGGGTTATCCAAGATCATCCAGCACCCACACGGCCAAGCTCTCTGCGATTCAGCCCCGTCAAGGGTGGGTCGTCTGACAAGAACGGCAGGCATCCTGCATGCCCGCCAATGAAGCACACAGGGAATCCAGCAATGCAGCATCATCGTATGACGAAGTGATGCCGTGTAGTGGCGGGACGACGTAACCTGATGGCTATATGATGGCATCTGATGAGAATTTGGCATCAGCTGATGAACAGATGGCAAATGATGGCGAGTCGACGTCAGTCGGAGATGAGTCATCGCCAAAACGCCACTTGTATCATCGATACACTGAGTAAGTATTTGAAGCGGCTCCGCACAGCCTAGAGTGACCCTCCTCAGTCGGCCCAGAGTATCGTTCCGAGGACTTGGGCCCCTTCTCACTGGTATCCCGCGGGTGACTCAGCCGAACAGCTTGTCGAAGCACTGGTGGCAGTAGGGCTTGTCGTCCTGCTCCTTGAACGTGCCCTTGTTGAGCTGTTTCAGACAGAACGAGCAGTTAAAGTGTTCCGGGTGAAACTTTTTGAACATGGCAGTGACACACCGGCCTGTAAGACAGAAAAACGCAATAAATGTTACGTAAATTAGACTACAGTGGAATGGATCAATCGATAAACCATTTTCTGTTTGTGAAGTCTCTAGCTTCTTCCGTCACATGCTTCACGACAAAAAAAAAACATAATAAATAAATAAATAAATAAATAAATAAATAAATAAATAAATAACTAAAATGAAAAATGAAATAAGATAAAATGAAATAATCTTTATCACAGAACACTGAAGGCGCTTGGTACGATTAAACCCAGAACATTGGGTCGTTTGTCGCGACTCGCGTAGCCGATTCAACGAACGAGAATGACACGGTACAGGACGGAGGGTGACTCGTGTCCGCTCACCTGTGATGGGCTTGTGGCAGCCGGCGCACAGCGAGCCCCTCTTGGCGTGGTAGTGGGTCTCACAATACGGCTGACCCTCGTAGTCGAAAAACGAGCCGTTTGCAAACGTCTGCTTACAGTCCTGAAATTGAAGTACAGCGACTGATCAGCGATTGGTGCTGTGATATGTCATCTTTCACCGTGTCGTTCATAGATGGCAATATATCGAGCAGCGAAGTCGCTTCAGCTAGCGTGGCTTACCGTATGAACTATGAACTGCCATCAAGCCGTGCCAATATTACGTCATAACTACCGATTGACAAACCAACAGATAAAAGATCAAACGGCTTTGACGCGCTGGTCTCTTTGCTTTGTACCAACTCGAGCACAAAGGTCAAACATCAAAGGGACGTTCCGGCATCATTGGCACCAGCTGGCCCAGGGATCATGTTACCACCACTGCACTGGTGTCAGGATATTTAGCAACGAAGAATGTTGGAAATAAACAGGGAACTTGAAACCAGGCCACCAGGCATCGCATTCACACTTGACCGGGTGTAATCATCTATTTCTCCTCTCGCAACCAAATAAACAGAGCACTCGTTCGTTTGTAGTGTCCACACAACGTACTTTTCATACAAATTATTTAGCAAATGAACGGTGACGACCGGTCTGCACTGGCTCACTATTCTGTCATGTGATATTTACCCTTCCCCTCAGCCAGACCATGCCACCTCTCACCGTGCAGACGAAGCACTCCGAGTGCCACTGGGCGTTGAGTGCCGAGATGTAGTTCTCCATGACGGGCTGGCCGCAGCCGGCGCAGCGCGGCGCGAACATGTCGAAGTAGTCCTGCCTGCAGTAGGCCTTGCCGTCGCGCTCGTGGAAGCCGGCGTCGCCGAACGGCTGGCCGCACTGGGCGCAGAAGAAGTGCTCCGGGTGCCAGGTTTGACCCAGGGCCGTGACGCATTTCTGTGGAGACAGAGGAGATGCGTTAATGCAAATGCTCTAAATTGTTTTAAAAAAAATGCGGAGTGCCAGTTTAAGACAATGGTTCAAAATCCAAATGCACATGCATACGTTTGTTTTCTCTGCTCAGCAGTATGGCTATTGGCTATGTCAGTATCAGGTCGATAAAAGACTAGATAATTATGATCGATGCAAAGACGACAGTTCACGTTTAGTTTGAGTGGAACCGCACCGCCCGCTAACAGGCGAACGCCCGACGTGTTTCTCAATTCATTCACTAGATGGCGTTGCGCTCAACGCCTGAAGGATACTGTACCGCATCGCACAAAACTTTACGTGGCGGGCAGCGTTGAACAATCGGTCGGAGTGAGGTGATTTTCGGAGACATTTTTATCCTTCGAATATAAATGACCTATGTTCAAGTCAACCGTTTCTTATTCTTACTGACAGCGTGGACTAGTTAGTGTCGTCCAATACATACTCTAAAAGCAACACTGACGTCCATTGCGGTCACTGTGTCATTGACTCACGTCCAGTATCCAGTATAATGGGGCCGCGGCAGTAACCCATATCCAGTACGTTAAAGGTCTCCGTCTCTGACAGTAACACTCACGTCCAGTATGGTCTCCGACAGTAACACTCAGACAAGTATGGTCTCTGACAGTAACACTCACGTCCAGAATGGGTCCGCGGCAGTAGCATTCAGTTTAATATGGTCTCCGACAGTAACACTCACGTCCAGTATGGTCTCCGACAGTAACACTCACATCCAATATGGGTCCGTGGGAGTAACTCATATTCACTATGGTATGGTTTCTGTTTCTGATAGTAACACTCACGTCCAGTATGGGTCCGCGACAGTAACACTCACGTCCGGTATGGTCTCTGACAGTAACACTCACGTCCAGTATGGGTCCGTGGGAGTAACTCATATTCACTATGGTATGGTTTCTGTTTCTGATAGTAACACTCACGTCCAGTATGGGTCTGCGACAGTAACACTCACGTCCGGTATGGGTCCGTAGCAGTAACACTCACGTCCAGTTTGGGTCCGCGGCAGTAGCACTCACGTCCAGTATGGGTCCGCGGCAGTAACACTCACGTCCAGTATGGTCTCTGACAGTAACACTCACGTCCAGTATGGGTCCGTGGGAGTAACTCATATTCACTATGGTATGGTTTCTGTTTCTGATAGTAACACTCACGTCCAGTATGGGTCCGCGACAGTAACACTCACGTCCGGTATGGGTCCGCAGCAGTAACACTCACGTCCAGTATGGGTCCGCGGCAGTAGCTGCAGCGCGGCGAGAACAGCTGGTGGTAGTCGTGCTCGCAGAACGGCTGGCCGTCCCGCTCGAAGAAGTTCTTGTTGCCCAGCTCCATGTTGCAGTGGCTACAGGTGAAGTGTTCAGGATGCCACGTTTTACCCAGCGCCGTAATCACCTGTCGTTCAGGCAGAGTTCAGATGATAAGCTAAAAAATAAATACGCATGACATGGAATATCGAATGTTCATTCGCTTAATGATCCCTTAAAGGGACAGCATCATCGAAAAAAAAATCAATGTATGGAGCTGATTTTTTTTTTAACTAGCATTTCTTATTTTTCTGAATCAGAAAAACATAGTTTGAGGACCGAACTCGGTGAAAAATATTTTTTCATGAGCGAGTCATTTTCATGAGCGAACCACCACTACAAGCATGGCCGCCACTTTGGAAGCCTGCGAAATTACTACAGAACTGGCGCAGATAATACATTATTGACGCTACGCTTACGCGGCCGCTCTTCTGATTGAGTTGTCGTTAGGGAAAGGCAGCATTAGAGCTCTGTTTCACCGGTGATAGCAGCACGCTGCTTTTAAACGTGTCAAATTGGGTTTCCATGGAAACATCAACAGGCCCATTGCTCCAACACTACCAGAAGTGTGACGTCAGCTCGCGCAATTTGATAGCAGCGTGGTAGCAGCGTCCCGTGAAACACCGCCTAGGTATTGCCCAGAAGATATCACGTGACAATATTCTCGTACTTGAAGCAAATGTGAAGTACTTTTAGCAGATCAGATGACGTCATACATATACGTCATACATTGGAGGGAGATTGTGATTGAAGCTGGAGGAATTCCTTTGTTGAGCCGCTAGAATCCGAAGGAAACAGCGGAAATTGCCTACGACTATTTAATGAATTTAACGGTGATGAATAAGTGCGAAAAACGTTTTGGCTTTATAAAATTTGATGAAATTACCAGGGTAAAAGTTTTATTACTGGCGGTCAATTCAAAACGGCGCAAACATTTAAACAGTGAAGATAGTGAAGCACGATTCAAAGTGTAGTACACCTTTCGTACTTTGAGCGGCGATAGCGGGATAACGGTGTGGAGCTTCGAGGATCGGTCTTCAGTTCCCGGACCAGAAAGGTGGGGCCTATGCAATGTCAAATTTCATCAAAATGGTGATACTGTCCCTTTAATTCGCATGATGAGCTTAGGACGTGTGGCAAAAATACAAAAACAAAGAGCAAATTAAAGGAAGAAAATATTCCATTGTAAGTCACAAGGCATATGGTTGCATTCAAGACCTCATCGACTGAATAAATAGTGTGCAACGCATCCACTCCCAGCAACAAGCCTGGCTTAATTACCAGCCCCTATTGCCCGTGATCCCACCCACTACATGTCACAGCCGACACCTAACGAGCAAACGACCTTTTCATTAAACGCACCAGTCACGTCCTCTAATGGTCTTATTCCTCGGCTTCAGTGCTCTTCAGTCTGCAATCCTTTAAATACCAACTCATATCCGGTGTGCTATCGTTCATTTTCTCCCCCCCCTCTCTCTCTCTCTCTCTCTCTCTCTCTCTCTCTCTCTCTCTCTCTATCCCTTTCCCTCCCTCCCTTCCTCCCTCCCTCCCTCCCTCCCTCCCTCCCTCCCTCTCTCTCTCTCTCTTTCTCTCTCTGTCTATCTTCCTTACTTCCTTTCTCTATCTCCGTGTCTTTTTCCCACTCTCTTCATAAATCCTATACCTCTCCTCCATCTTTCCGTCCCTCCCTCCCTCCTTCCCCCTCTCTCTCTCTCCCTCTCTTCTCTCCCCCTCCTCCCTCCTCTCCAGATTCAGCTCTCCAACGAACCTGTCCCACGATCGGCTGTCCGCAGGCGGCGCAGGTGCCTTTGACGGCCGTGTTGACGCCCTGCCTGTCCATGTCGTCCTGTAGGTTACCCAGCATGGTGTCCAGCTGACTAGTCTTGGCCGGCTGCTCGAGCGGCGGGTCGTGGGTCTCCTCCACCACTGTGCGCTGGTACGAGGTGGCGTGAATCTGTCGAGAGGGGAGGTGTTGGGTGATGCAGATCTGCCGGGAGGGGTAAAAGCCAAAAGGGGAAGAGATCATGCATAGGAGATGTTCCGTGGTCTTTTCGATCCTGATCCTAGCCTGGCATATAAGCATGGCGATAAGTTTGGCTTGTAAAACATACGCAAAATCGGCTAATATGAATTGAGAATGTTACTTGAGTGCTAGATAAATGGTATCCCGCCGATCAGAAAGTTAGTCTTGAAGTCTACCATGCCTAAAAAATCCATGAGTTCCAGCTCCCAAACCTTATCTAAGACGCACGATACGATTCCGAAACTAAAACCCTAACTATGTACCTATGTATATTGTCAAAAGTGTTCGGATATCGGCAACAATGCTGTACCAATGATGATTTCTTACTCGTATTTTGCTGTGTGATAACGTAACGATAATGTGATAATGTTATAGCTGAAAACATTCCAATCGGTTCACTCATGGGATATGCCCGTCTGTGTATCAGTCAGCCCGACCCCCGGAAGGTCCCCGGGGCGGACAGTTCATCTGTGTAAACACGTCCCGGTCTCCTGTGTGCGCCCATCTGCCGTGCACCGCTACCGGAGAGCGTCCCTCATCGCCCTCGAGCTCACTGCAGCCAGCGGGGTGCACACGTGCATGTGTGTGCACCAGAGCGCCATGCTCCTGATGAAGCAAAACGAGCGCTATGTGCGCAGCGAGAGAGAAGGGGGAGGGGAGGGGGAGTGTTCGTGTCGTGTTGCCATTGGACAGCGGTACAGCATGTCAGTCACAAATTAAGTCGTGACCATTTTCATTTCAATCCAATCAGTAAAGTGCAAGTCACTGTGATACCTGACAGAGCTGTTGAAGCATTTCGACACTTCTGATTGACACAATGAGAGCAACATGTAAATGTTTCAGCCAACTATAGAGCAAACTTCTGTGTCGTGCTTCGAAGTTCGAAGTTTCAACACGGATGTTAATCATCGACGAGACCTCTCACCCAAATGAATGCTACTCCGGCACGAAACACATGTTTTTCATTTGTTTACACGCAGAAGTCACGCGCCAAGCAAAGCAGGAACCCAGCGTGATGGATGGCACGCTGTCGCAACAAGGCCCCAGGTGGGCCCCACATCGTCGTCGGGCTCAACGACTAGCTAACACCGAGGCCTCAGATCGTCGCAGTTGAGGGCGTCAGGGAGTCATGAGTAACCACGTCAAGCAAGGAACGCTCTCGATGCGGGATGATCATCCACGGCCGCTCTCCCCGGGGCCACCCCCCACCCCCCCTCCACGGACCCCCGGACTGCGCTGCGGCCCGCCTCCTGTGGTCTCCGATAAACAGTGGCTCGACGCGGCTTGGTAAACTGGCCGTCGGCGGATAAACGGCGACCGATTTAGCCTCAGGGCACGTGGCCGGTCACCGGGAGGCGGCGGCTGTGTCACCGGGGAGGGGAGGGGAGGGAAGGGGAGGGGAGGGCTGTGTCACCCGGAGGCGGCGGCTGTGTCACCGAGGAGGGGAGGGGAGGGCTATGTCACCCGGAGGCGGCGGCTGTGTCACCGGGGAGGGGGAGGGGAGGGGAGGGCTGTGTCACCCGGAGGCGGCGGCTGTGTCACCGGGGAGGGGAGGGTGTGTCACCGAGGAGGAGAGGGGAGGGGAGGGGAGGGTGCGTCATTGGGTGACGGTAGACTCCCGCTCGGCGGCGCGCGGCGCAGCTGAAAATAACCGCTGGTATGAGCCCGGGGGAGGCGTGACATCGGCTTATGATGAAACGATCACCGAAACGGGAAACAGGAGCTGCCCTGAGAAGCCGCCGCCTGCACAGCTGCATATTTCGGTGTCAAACGGTGTGGCCGTTTGTGCCAGAGACGTTGTTGCCTGTTATTAGGGTGCAATTTCAAAATCACTTTTGTGGACGTGATAGTATTTGAATTCGTCGATCAGTCAATACGGAACGAGCGGCGGGGAAGGGAAGTATTAGCCAAAGAATGTGTGACGTACCTTGAAGTCGGAGAGGGAGGCCATCAAGTCGTCCAGCTCCTGGGTGGCCGACGAGGTGTTGTGACATCCTTCCGGCACGCTCTCCGTCACCGTCACCGTCCGCGTCTCAAACGTCTTGGCGTTCCTGCCGGGGGTACCGCGCATGTTAGGGAGAGGGGAAGGCGAGACGAGGCAGCGAACCGACAGAATATCGGGGATGAGAGGAGAGCAATGACATTGAGCAACAGAGGCGCAGAGGCAGCGGCAGCTTTCGCGCATGCAGGCTCCCCTACATTCTGATGTGGTTTTCGTTCTAACTGAAATCTCCTTTGCGATATGATGCAAGTTACGAGTAAATGCGATGTATTATCCAATATAAGTTAGTGTACTTAATCATAATGTAATAAAGCAAAACATATAAATCAAAATAGGTACAATATAAAATATGATAGGCCAGGAGGATGATGCAATACTTTTTCGGCCAGTCGCAGCACATCATGGCGCAACGCAATGTCAAATAAACAATGCATGACCGGTTCCATGAACCCCGCGGCGCAACGTCAGAACGTGCTTTTCCTGGCCGAGGTCTATCAACACCCAGAGCATTTCTTGGCATCGGCCAAAGGCTTCAGTTCTGCAGAACCATTGACGTGATTTGGGGGCTGGGAATGAAAACCCTCTGTTGGTAAATCAGTGAGTGGACTGATCTGAGAAGTCCGTCGATCACGGTACCTCTGCTGAGGAGAGTGTGGACTGAGTGGCACCGGGTGACCGTCGGGGGGCACCGGGAGGCTGTCAGGGGGCACCGGGAGACTGTCAGGGGCACCCATCGGCTGTCAGGACTCAGGAGGCACCGGGAGGTTGTCAGGGGGCACTGGGAGGCTGCCAGGACTCAGGGGACACTGAGCGACGGTCAGAGGGCACTGGGCGATGGTCAAGGGGCACCGATCGGCGGTCAGGGGGCACTGGGCGACGGTCAGGGGGCACCGGGCGACGGTCAGGGGGCACCGGGCGGCGGTCAGGGAGCACTGGGCGATGTTCAGGGGGCACCGATCGGCGGTCAGGGGGCACTGGGCGGCGGTTGGGGGGCACCGGTCGGCGGTTGGGGGGCACCGGTCGGCGGTTAGGGGCACTGGGCGGCGGTTGGGGGCACCGGTCGGCGGTTGGGGGGCACCGGTCGGCGGTTAGGGGCACTGGGCGGCGTTTGGAGGGCACCGGTCGGCGGTAAGGCGCACTGAGCGGCTGTCATCGCCCGATCAGCTGTCAGCGCCTCAGCTCGGAACGCCGCGGCTGGCCCCCGCCCAGTGCACAGTGGGGATTTTTCCGATCTAGCGCCTATTAATTCAAAAAATCTTTTTGGATTTTTGTTTATTTTTTTGTGTCAGTGGGGCTAAGAAATGTCTGAATTTTTCATATATGGCATTGTTTTATCTGTATGTCCACAGCAAGACTAGGAAAAATGCGCCCAAAGTTAACATTCATGCGTGATTATTCAATGGGCTCAGTAAGGCCCGAAAGTATAGCTCAATTTCATTGTCCTGTATGTATGTATTGTATGTATTGTATTACCTTCATGGACAATCCACGCGGGGCGTGGCGATTACAGTCCAGAGTCTGAGTCGGGCACAAACAAAAACATGCGGGGACAAGAAACCTGTTGGTTTTAATCTTGCGAGGTCTTAAAGTTGCATATCTTCTGAAAGGCACCTTTATTGGGAATGGAATGGCAAACAGAAAGTATGCCACAACCTTACTAAGGTCACAAAAATGCCATTTACAAAAACCCTTACAGACACCATGTTGAAGGAATGGTATTCTAAATAAATGTAGGAAATCAACAATGTTTTCCACACTTTTCCACTCCGAAATATATCCTATCAAATTCGCCACTTTCTCCTACACAAGTCAACGCCTAGTTTGGCTGCCGGAACTTGCCTGAACACGGAATATTCACATTAGAGTATCTTAACACCCCACTCTAGGAGCGCCAGGGCAAACAGCACGATATAGGTATGTTCCGGACAGAGGCGAATAATTTTACTTCGTGATTTATATGAAACATATTTTCTGAGACACATTCATTAGGAATAGGATGACAAGTGTAAATAATACATACCGTAACCTTATTAACCCTTGCACTTGTGGGGAGGGGGAGGGGGAGGGGTCGGATAAAACCCCATGGTTTTCCGCAAATTACTCGCGCAAAAAGCGGCCGATCGCGACGAAACTTTCGGTGCCCTCGAGATCATCAATTTTACATCTAACCTAAAACTTTCATGACTCTGACCCAACTGACCTTTGACCTGTGGCATATTTCTCGAGACCATGTTTGGCCAGAATCGTGATTCGGCGTATGCCAGTTCACATTATCCGAGGTTTCCAGTCTTTTTGTGGTTTTAAACGCTCAAATATATGAAATGATGTTGGTGCCATGCATTATGGTGGGTGATAAGGTCACGTGAAGGTCAAGTCAAGGTCATTGACCTTTGATGACCTTGGTTCACTTTTTGGGTTTTACTTGTTTCTAGGGTATTTTTGGTGCTGATTTCGAATTTAGCAACCATTTGAATATTTACGAAGTAGTTTTGGTGCCTTCGTACCATGTTACGAAGCTATCAGTAGTAGGTGACACCTGCTATGAATGGCCGGCAGGACGCCTAATGGTTGATCTAACCTGACCTGACCCGACCTGACCTAAATGCATAAAGACATCGTCTGTGATCAAAATTAGCATGAAATTCGTGATCAGCACCCCAAAATACCCCGTAACACCCTAACTTTACGAAGTTTCAAGAGGTCTCGATTTCCCAACTTTAGTTGGGTCATTAAACTGACTTGGAAAGTCAACTAATGGCCTTGGACTTTGAAATTGGATATATTCGACCTCATTTCGTCAGAGGCAGCACGCTTGATTTTTCCGCGAAGCTCTAGCTTGATCAGGGGCCAAACGGCTGAGCCGGGGGTCCAATTGAACCCCCTATACTATGTTGACTATGCACATTTACAGGTAAAATTCTCACCAGAACACACCAGCCAACATCTGTGCACAATCTGGCTACAATATTACCTATGGTTTGCCCTTTACGAATAAATATGTGCTAGATCGGAAAAATCCCCACTGTGCAGTGCACTGATTCGGGACCCCTCACCGGTCATCGGGCCGGCCTCTGTGTTTATGCTGCCTGTCCGGCAGTGGTGTACCGTGTCAGCGCTGAGGTCACGGGTAGATAACTGACACTGGGGGTCAGACTGACCCGGGCTGGGAGCCAGAGGAGGCTGCAGTGACCTGGTGATAATTAGAGGGAGGCTGCAGTGACCCAGTGACGGTCGTAAGGGGCTGCATGATCCTGTAATGGTAGCTAGAGGGAGGCTGCACTGGCCAGGTGATAGGTAATTAGGGGGCTGCAGTGGTGACCCGGACGGTGATAATCAGAGGCGGATCCAGCTCAGAGGTTTGGGGGGGGGGCAAACCATAAAAATTTATCGATTCTTTCCATGCATCGTCCATAGGCGTAATGTTAAAATCATGCCGTTTGGGGGGGGGGGGGCAAATGCCCATTTTGCCCCCCCCCCCTGGATCCGCCACTGGTGATAATGAGGGAGGCTGCAGTGACTCGGTGATAAATAGAGGGAGGCTGCAGTGACTCAGGACGGCTTTAGAGCGGGGAGCAGTGATGCTGTGCTCTGTGCCAGGGGCACAGAAATAAGTCTTGTGAAATATTTGTGTCTCTAGATTGAACAGTGACAATGCAAGCTTGAACGATTCATAAGCCCTCTGAAGAGGCCTGTTCAATGACTCATGAAACTACGTGATGCCAGACCTCAGCAAAGGTCATCCGACACCACTCACCAGTGCGATCATCTGATGGTTAGCAGAGCCGACATTTATCTCTGTTTATGACCGGAAGTTAAGACGTCTTTCATGCAGAGGTCACCGACACATTCCCAGCCCTGCCGGAAATTCGCGGCCGCTGACAACTTGCCCCAATTTCCATCACCAGACTCGTCTCGTCTCCGCAGTAAACCTCCCGGCCTTCGCTGTAACGGCAGTCAGTACTCGCAGGCCCCGATAAGGCGTTGTAGTCTGCCCGGGACGCTCAGCGTCGCCCCCGCTCCCCTGCGGCACTCTGAGGGCGGCGCGGCCCGCTGCGGGCTCCTGCGGACCGCTCGGCACGCCGTCTGAGGCGGAGGACGCCGCCACGCCGCCGCACCTTCCCATCGCACGACCCGAGGGCAGGGCAGTGACCTTGGCCGCCCGCGACCTCATCACAGCCACTCACCGCATCTCTCACCACATCTCACCACGTCTCTCCGTATCTCTCTCTCCATTTCTCACCGCATCCCGCCGCATCTCTCTCCAAATCTCACCACGTCTCTCCGCCCGCGCCTCCATCCGTTCATCATCCTCCGCCTCCGCCAGCCGCCGGGGCTAGACAGGCTTCCGCCAACACCAGAAGCTGCCGCCCGTCGGCACCGGCCACGGCCCGACACCATCTCTTGTTAACGCTTCTCCACGGGGTTCCACCGTCACCTGACGATGACGTCATCTGTCTTAGACTGACAGCTCATGACAGCGGCTGTTGTCTGTCGCCACCCACACCGCTGCCGTGCCTGCTTCCTGGCAGTGGTGGCTGACACTGCACCGTGCCAGAAGCACGGCAGCGGCAGGGACCGGCCTTGGCTCTGCCGGCGGCGGCAAAGGACCGTTTGTTTACCTGCAGAGGGGGCGGCACCCGCCGAGCGGGGCGGGGGCGGGGCGGGGGCGGCGGTGGGGTGGCGGGCTGGCGTTACCTGACGGCAGGGGGTCGCACCGGGCCTCGCCCTGGCCTGAATGGATTTGGGAAGGGCCGCCCGCTACGGGGAATGGGTGTGGAATGTTTAATGCCGTGTTTCAATGAGATAGCCGGGCCAACCAGGAATTTGGCGTGAATCCTGTTCGTTTATGCATTTCCATTCTGTTGTGCCATATTCATGAAGAGAGAAGTTGACGTAATATCCCCATTGAAACATACAATTATTGTGTGTAAGTTCAAAACTGGTTTGAGAAGTTCTAGTTTAGGTTCTATGAATTTCGCGGAAGATTACGATATCCTCGTTCATCGTTCAACAATTGCCTTCAAACGTCGCCCTCGGCCCTGATGACAACGCCTTTTGTGCTCTGCACAAAATGTATCCATGTTCACAAATAAGTCATGTTTATGCAGATGAAATAGATATAGATTGACTTGGAATATAAGTATAACGAGCATCATTATGTTTTGAACGAGAGCATGACTTCACGAAGACCATTCCGCCGATCTGAACATTACGACCCGGTATTAAATCTCACAATCAGCCACATTTCAAGCCCAAAGCCCAACAGCCCCACCCACACTATCCACCAATCTGACTCGTTCGTCCCTCCCGGGATACTTACTGGGGTGGTAGCACATAGTCGACGATCTCAATCAGCTCGAGAATCTGCCCCGGCCGGCCCATGGTGCTGCGTCTCTCCACTGTGCCCCTAGCTCGCGCAAATCGCCACTCCGAGTCACCTGATCTGACCGCACGGTGCACACTCAGGTCACCTGAAACACAACCCTGCAACACCAGCAGGCCTCTCGCGCACGACCTTCACACTAGCTTGCTGTTATGTTGATCACAGTTCACACCTCAACTGCAAACCTACACCGCACCTCAGTCCTCACCACACTTCCACACCTTCCACTGTCAAATCTGATAGACAAGGTAGACCGGGGTGCGGCGGTGGACCCGCCCAAACGCGGCTCCAACCAGCTGTCACCGGTGGATGTTCTCACTACCCGAGCCAAGAGAAGATCGTTAATCACACGGTGCTTTTCGGAGCTCGCAAAGTCGGCAGCGCGGGGGCGACTGAAGGCGGTAGACGACGCTGCTGAGGGCGGTTGACGGGTATCTCTTGGACGACTTCCGTTGATCCAAAGAAGCTTTCCGAGTCTTGAAACGGTGGATGCACTTCGGACACGCCCCACGAATGGACACCTGTTTGTCACTTTTTCTATAGGTGATAGATCACTCCCCGTGCAGCACTCCACAGCGCTCTCAGCGACTGACTCCCAGACGGCAGTGTGGGCGGCACGGTGGGCGGCACTCGGGCGGCTCGGTGGGCGGCTCTCGGGCGGCCTGCTGCTCGTGACGAGCTGCCACCAGGACTGGCGCGGCGGAGCGGCGGAGCGGCCCGACGGCAGCGGCGGGCGGACGACTGACGTCACCCAGCCGACGAGCGGCGGAGAGCGGGGTAGAGCGTGGGAGAGTGAGCAGTGAATGAATGAGCTATGTAGATCGAAAGGGGAATGTTCCCTCATTCGATGGAGCATGCTAACGTGAGAGTGCAGCAAAAGGACAGGCGGCGAGTTATGGAGCGAGTAGTAAACGGAATGGACAGCTCACTATCCGGAGTGCTGTAGCTCTATTGGTTCCTGAGTTATGCGCCGGTGTTTCGAAATATGTTGAAATAGGCAGCATTTTACCATTCATGACCTCTGGGTCTGGTGACCTGGCCTTTGATGGAGGTAGTGACCGACTGGAATAAACATGAGGCAAAGTTTTTAACCCTCGCATGTGTAGGGGGGGGGGGGGGTCGGATGGACCCCCCCATGGTTTTTCGCGAATAACTCGCGTAAAAAGCGGCCGATCGCGACGAAACTTTCAGTACCCTCGCATTGATCAATTTTACACCTACCCTGAAAATTTCATGACCCTGACCCAAATGACCTTTGACCTGTGACCTCTTTTCCGAGACCATGTTTGGCCGGAATCGCGATTTCGCGTATGTCGGCTCGCACTAGCCGCGTGTTTGCAAGCTTTTCGTGGTTTCAAACGTTCAAACATGTGATTTGATGTTACTCCCGTGTGTGTCAAGGTACCCTGAAGGTCAGGTCAGGTCATTGACCTTTGGTGACCTCGGGTGACCTCGGGTCACTTTTTCGAGTTTTACATGTTTCTAGGCTAGTTTTTGGAGCTGAATTCGAATTTAGCAACCATTTGAACATTTACGAAGTAGTTTTGGTGACTTCGTACCATGTTACGAAGCTGTCAGAGGCGGTTGACACGTACTACGAATACCCGTCACGACGCCTACTGGTTGACCTGACCTGACCTGACCCGACCTGGTCTAAATGCTTCAAGACATCATCTGTGATCAAAACTAACATGATATTCGTGATCAGCGGCCCGAAAAACCCCATAGCAGCCACACTTTACGACGTTCTAACAGGTCCCGATTTTCCCGACTTTTGGGTCATTGACCTGACCTGGAAGGTCAACCAATGACCTAGGACCTCAAAATTGGGTATCATCGGCTTCCTCTCGTCACGGGCAACACGCTCGTTTTTTCCGCGAAGCTCTAGCTCGATCAGGGGCCAAACGGCAAGGGGGGGGGGTTCCAACCGACCCCCCCCCCTACACATTAGAAGCTGGCAAACGCCGCACACATGCGAGGGTTAAAAGACAATGAGGATGTGACTCGAATGACTCGAGAGGAGATTAAAGGAAGTCTCCGTAAACTAACAGAAATGCAGGTTTAAGCATCAATTGATACGAATGAAGATAAATACCTATAACAGGAGGACCACTAGTCGAAAATTTACAGCCTAGAGACTAGCAGTTCCAAAATCACATGGGACCAGCAATACACTGATATAACGGCAGCCCAATCAAAGAACTTCAGCTCTCTCAGTCTCCCAGACACTACCAGCGTCGGCGCCGTCGCTATCGACCTTAACAGGGTTCGTCGCGTCATCGATACCAATGCTCGGGACCAATGGACTGTCATTCATCACCACTCCGAAACTCCTATAGCAGGCCAGGAGTGTCGCGAGGAGTGCCATGAGTGTCGCACAGAGTGCCAGGAGCGTCACGAGGCGCGGGCTGGCACGGACGGCGACACACCGGGCGCCCTGTGTGGCTGACGGAGCGGAGCGCAGACGGAGATGGATAGGGGTATTTGGGGTATTTCTGGGAGAGGTTGTTACGGATTGCGCTAAGGCTGCCGGATGCTTGTCGATGTTTACATATGGTGTTTGGCGTCAGCTGCCGTTATTCTATCCGACACAATGCGGATATATTTACTGTTTATCTGGACCTGGAGCCTCATGTTACCAAGGGAACTGCTCAGATCGATCCCGATTACATGCGCTGTGTCTGCTTCAGCTGAACTGCCGGTATTTGGTATTCAGAGCAGTAAGAACTTACACCGCTTCTCCAAGTCAGAACGGCCGCTAACGGCCGGTATTACGAGCACTTGGGCTGCAATGTCAGAAGCTCTGCGATTTTAACTAAATCTGGCCTGGCGTACATTTCTGGCAGTTTTGTATCTGCCAATATATAGGTATCGTTACATGTGGTATAATGCCTAAATGATGTAGATAACAGATTCCAGCTTCCGTCCTTCGATTCTGTAAAATTCAACACCATTTTGATACAGAAAAGGGAGGTGAAAATTATTCAATTATAACTGAATACCCTAAAACTATATTACAAGACATTAGGAACAGATTTATTTGCTCACGTCAAGGTGGATTTTTAAAGTTGGCGACCAGTCTCTAGGCAGCCATAAGCCACGCAGTGAAAAGCACTGAGCAACGAAAGACCTCACTGCAACAGCGTGCATTACAGAGCCTTTGTCGCCGCTGAATGCGCGGCGCTGCAGCTTCGCAATACAGTGAATACAATGGCGCACCACATATGTGAAGCCACATATGGGTTTCAGCGGCATGCTTCCTCTGCATTTGGCTCACCATGCCCATGCACATCATCCACCCGGTCAGTTGCATTCCTTCATCAACGTCAGTGCTTGATACGGGAGTCGTGACTCTAGCAAACCCTTATAAACCGTCGGTGCTATAACAAACTGGAAATAATAAACACAATGTTTTCAATCAGTTGATTCAAGAGCCATCAACCAGATTCAAGTCCACCGTGCAATACGGTATGTTGGACACACAAGATCACACGTATACGCCAGTAAGCTTATGCATATTCGTCCCGTCTGCTCAGAAGTCAAAGAGGCATATCGGACATCCAACGGGATTAAACAGCAGACGGCTTAGGTAAGTACCATAGATTAACCACTAGCCAGGTTTGGCTATCTCGTTTGCCCGCTGCGTGACATCGAGGCAGCATTTGCATGAACGCCTGATATATCACATCCCACCGATAATCCCATGGCTGAACTTGATCGTTGCACATCCCAGGCTCTCTACATTCCTGAGACATATCTCTTCCCTCTGTATGCGGACGTCGCATTCCTCCCCAGCCCTGCCCTGAGAGGCAGTGGGGACTGGAAGGGTGCGCGGACCCCTGAGGTGCCCTAGCGAGTCCTATTTATCGCCTGGTCCTCCCCTGGCGGACCCCGCGAGGTCGAGGACCCCGGACAGCACCCTGAGACCTCAGCCAGGTACGAAGTCCCGACCGACAGTGTTTGTTTGCGGGATTATGTATGTTGATTAGCCTGCTGTGGTTTATTAATGCAGAGGATGTCAGGTGGGAACGCAGTTCGAAGGGCGCTGAACCGAGCCCCGGGGTCAAGGCTTGCTAATCGAAAGCGGCATAAGGCGGACTGGCTCGACAAACACTAACCAATACGAATGGTCTATTTGATAAAGGTGATGAACCGATACGAATGGTCTGTTCGATAAACGGTCACAGACCACTGCTGTCTGATCGATAACCGGTCGTCGACCATTGCGATGGTCTATGGTCTGTTCGACAAACTGTCGTCGGCCATTATTGTCTGTTCGATAAATACCAGGGTCTCCCAGTAGTCCGTACTCATCACGGGCTGGGGATGATATCGAGTTCGTCGACACATCTGTCTAGTGTGTGTCTGGTAAATTGTGCTCACGGACTGGGGATGATGTCCAGCTCGTCGACACAGCTGTCTAGTGTGTGTCTGGTAAATTGTAGGTACTCACGGACTGGGGATGATGTCCAATTCGTCGTGAGAGGCCGGTTGGACGGCCACCATGTTGGAGACAGGCGGAGACGGCGACTCTGAAACGACCAAAGACACAAGATCAGTGACTCTGAGCAATGGACTTTTGTCATCACTGTCAGTGAAAACTGTTCGATAAGTTAAGGTTCTGTAGGTGGCAGTAGCCCTACAATCCCCCTTACACGCTCCTACAAAAGATGAAATAATGAAGAATGAATGAGGAATGATGAATGATAAATGATAAAGGGTGAAAGATTAAGGAAAAATTGTATTGACAATCGCCGACACTCCACAAACACAGTAGTGGCTGTTCCGTGTCGTAAGTCACGAAGTAAAAACAATGCGATACGTAGGTAGATGGGCATAAAAGAAACATACGCTCACGTCATTCACCACTTTCACACAGATCAGATCCTAGGCCTGTCCCCCCCCCCCCCCCGCGGAGTCCCTATTACGCTGCGACTTAATGTAACGCTGGAAACGAGCCGGGTCAAGTTCGATGACAGCCGGTGGAAGTTCGTTTAAAAGAGATGTTGCGCGATATAAAAAGGAGCGTTGCCCGGCTGCTGAGCGAGTAAAAGGGGGTCTAAAATGCCGGTCCTGTCGAGTGCTACGGTCACATCGTTGTTGGCGCGATTCACCGAAAGTCACAAACAGAGATGAAATGTCGGCCGGCTCGTCATACACAATTGCCTTATGGGCCACAGCCATTGCTGATATCTCGTACATACGTCGAGGACAGAGCAGTGCAAGGTCCTCTCGCGCGCGAGACACGTGATCGTACTTTCTGAGGCCAGTGATCACCCTGGTAGCAAAGTTGATCACGCTGAGCAGCCGTGAGTCGTTTTTTGCGGTACCACCGCCATATACAGAAATACAGTATCTCACGCGTGAGAGGACCAGACCGTCGACAACAGTTCAGTTCAACAAAAACAACAGTTCAACAAAAAGAATGAAGGATGAAGCATGAAGGATTAAGGATGAAGGATGAAGGATAGATGATGAAGGATAGATGATGAAGGATGCGTATATTCGAATCCAGTATGAGTAGAGCATGGGTCCCGAAAAATTCTTCAGAAACTAGAGAAATTCTCGCGGGGCAAGACGTCTGTCAAACTAGAAGCGAGCAGCGAGCAGCGAGTCCAGCAGCGAGAAACGGGCCATCCCGATTTAGCTGAAACTTTGCTCACAGAGCCTTCTCAGCACGCTGATTCCGTAAATCATGGTCTCTAGGGTGAGGATCTTTACCGTTCTCGAGATAGAACCCTCTAAAGTTTTCGACACCCATGACCGGGCCATCCCGATTTGGCTAAAAGTTGGCTCACAGAGCCTTCTCAGCACGCTGATTCCGAAAACCATGGTCTCTAGATTGGGAATCATTACCGTTCTCGAGATAGAACCCTCTAAAGTTCTTACCACCCATGACCGGGCCATCCCGATTTGGCTGAAAATTTGCTCACAGAGCCTTCTCAGCACGCTATTTCCGAAAATCATGGTCTCTAGGGTGGGAATCTTTACCGTTCTCGAGATAGAACCCTCTAAACTTCTAACCACCCATGACCGGGCCATCCCGATTTGGCTGAAAATTTGCTCACATAGCCTTCTCAGCACGCTGATTCCGAAAATCATGGTCTCTAGGGTGGGAATCTTTACCGTTCTTGAGATAGAACCCTCTAAAGTTCTTACCACCCATGACCGGGCCATCCCGAGTTGGCTGAAAATTTGCTCACAGAGCCTTCTCAGCACGCTGATTCCGAAAATCATGGTCTCTAGGGTGGGAATCTTTACCGTTCTCGAGATAGAATCCTCTAAAGTCTAAAGTTCTTACCACCCATGATCGGGCCATCCCGATTTGGCTGAAAATTTGCTCACAGAGCCTTCTCAGCACGCTGATTCCGAATATCATGGTCCCTAGGGTGGGAATCTTTACCGTTCTCGAGATAGAACCCTCTAAAGCTCTTACCACCCATGACCGGGCCATCCCGATTTGGCTAAAAATTGGCTCCCAGAGCCTTCTCAGCACGCTGATTCCGAAAATCATGGTCTCTAGGGTGGGAATCGTTAACCGTTCTCGAGATAGAAACCTCTAATATTTTCGACACCCATTACCGGGCCATCCCGATTTGGCTGAAAATTGGCTCACAGAGCCCTTTCAGCACACTGATTCCGAAAATCATGGTCTCTAGGGTGGGAATCTTTACCGTTCTCGAGATAGAACCCTCTAAAGTTCTTACCACCCATGACCGGGCCATCCCGATTTGGCTGAAAATTTGCTCACAGAGCCTTCTCAGCACGCTGATTCCGAAAATCATGGTCCCTAGGGTGGGAATTTTTACTGTTCTCGAGATAGAACCCTCTAAAGCTCTTACCACCCATGACCGGGCCATCCCGATTCGACTGAGATGGCCCGGTCGATTTGACAGACCATGATTTTCGGAATCAGCGTGCTGAGAAGGCTCTGTGAGAAAATTTTTAACCAAATCAGGATGGCCCGGTCATGGGTGTCGAAAACTTTAGAGGGTTCTATCTCGAGAAGGGTAACGATTCCCACCCTAGAGACTATGATTTTCGGAATCAGCGTGCTTAGAAGGCTCTATGAGCAAATTTTCAGCCAAATCGGGATGGCCCGGTCATGGGTGGTAAGAACTTTAGAGGGTTCTATCTTGATAACAGTAAAGATTCCCGCCCTAGAGACCATGCTTTTCGGAATCAGTGTGCTGAGAAGGCTCTGTAAGCAAATTTTCAGCCAAATCGGGATGGCCCGGTCACGGGCGCAGAGAACTTTAGAGGGTTCTATCTCGAGAATGGTGAAGATTCTTACCCTAGAGACCATGATTTTCGGAATCAGCGTGCTGAGAAGGCTCTGTGAGCAAATGTTCAGCTAAATCGGGATGGCCCGTTTCTCGCTGCTGGACTCGCTGCTCGCTGCTCGCTGCTAGTTTGACAGACGTCTTGCCCCGCGAGAATTTCTCTAGGTTCTGAAGAATTTTTCGGGACCCATGCTCTACTCATACTGGATTCGAATATACGCATGGAGGATGGAGGATGAATGATGAATGACAAAGGATGGCTCTATGAAACGCAAGCACGGAAAACGCATCTGTCAACAAGTTACGCAAAGCATGTGTTCAGTGTTTGGTTCACGCCACACTCTGGCACGGCAACACACGAGTACTGTCACGTTTAATGCCATTCGCTTTCAAGTACCGTGAAATAACACAGGGTTCGCACGGCTTGACTTGGCTTCCTGGCCAGACGAGTCGCTGCCGGGAGCTGTCAGCCGGTGACAGATGCTGTCAGCTGTAATGACGTCACGGAGGTCAGACAGTCAGCCCATGGGTGAAGTCAGCCGGTGCGAACCCTCCCGAGGGCCAGAGGGTGTGACATCGATGACAGAAGGTGGCAATAGACAGACAAACAGACAGACAGACAGACAGGCAGACAGACAAGTATAGGCAGACATACATGCAAGCAACGCACAGACAGGTGTTGCCAGTTGCCACCCACGAAGCTTCCGTAAAACACGGCGTCAGACGCCCCCTCCCCCTCCCCCAGGTCGGGCACCCAGCCAGCCGGTGGGCCTTCTGATGTCCGCTCGGCATCCGGTGCCCCCCTCCCCCCCCCCCTCCCAGGGCCCACGATCCGTACTATTTCCGTCCATCACGTCTCATCTGCGCAGCTCCTCCGTACTGGGTCAAGGCTACTATACAGCAGGGATGGCACCACGCTGACGGCACTTTGGCACGATGAAGACATGCGCGGTTTATTCGTCTGCGGTAATCACAACATGTCGGGAATAGCCGAGACCCCGTTCCCAGCAACTGATTGAAGCGGTTAGCGCATTATCAGCTGCCAGGCAGCAGTCAAGTCTTTATATTCAGTTCATAGTCTGCTGTTTTACTCCCACGGCCGGTGTGACCGGATTAGAGTGGGAAGTCGGATTGGAGCTCATCCCTTGTGGTGAGGCTAGACGTCGGAGCTATTGGAGCAAATTGTAACCCGAATAACCAAACACTTCTTCGTCGCTTCCGCTTCTGAGCGTTTCGGCTGAACTCTCGCAAAACTTGACACACTCGGCATTATACTCAACATTACCGTGCAAAATCATGGGCATTCTGTAGTAAGCACTAAGCAGTAAGCAGGCTTGGGTGATTGGGTATGTAAAAATCTAGCCCCTCTGTAATTCCATCGAAATCGGAATCAGACCACTAATGCATTTATTCTTGCATTTCGCCCTGCAGTGAAGCCGTTTCATATGACGCTACACCCCCCGTGCAGACCCCATATAAGGCAATGTTCACCGGTTGCCGGACGTGCACCAGCTGCACCACGCTGCACTGTTCCGTGCACCGAACACGAGCGTGGTGACAGGTCAGGTGTGCTCTGCAGACACTGGTGCGTAGGTACGCCCCATCCTGATCCAGCCGAGAGCTCCCTGGGGAGGGGCGTCCCACGGTCTGCAGTGGCATGTGCCTGCCACAAACGCGCTATTCTTTTAGTACGTTGAACTCGCTTCGATATGTCATGGGCTGGGCATCGGGCAGGCCGAGCGCACAGGGTGCAGTAAGGCTGTACATAATGTATAGTGTATTGCATAGTGTATTGATTGTATTAGAAGAGCGCATTGCTTTTTCATGTGCGCCATCACGGCTGCAAGGCGTGTGTCGGCATGTGCCATGCCGTAAAAGAACTGCGATCGATAACTCATTTATTACGAGTGTGATTGGGCAAAGGTAGTCTCAGCTCAGAGTTACGTAATTAGATACAAAGCGTGTGCACACGTATCGTCAATTGAATCTATTGTTACCTGGTCATGCATAAACGGTCAGGTGCTAACAAAGGTGCTTACTGCTAATAAAGGTGCTAATCGTTCATGCATTCATGCTTTGACTCAATTTGAGCATTGCATACATAAAGACATTTCCGTTAAACAACTGCCAGGCTCTGTTAAGTGTTTTTAATATAGCAATTTCTTTTTTCAGATGTGCATAATGGATATGTTCGTACCTACCTGACCAGATGTGTATGCTGCGCATGTATTCAGACTCAGACCCGCACG